TGTTGTGCCCATCCATTGGAAGCTGTGCCAAAAGGCCTTTCTGCATTTTGCTGCCACTGCTTTATACAGGTAGGTACAGGCACTCTGGTTGGGATCCTCCGCGTCTGGCCAACTGGCTAAGCTGATGAACCAGGTGATATGGGGGCCAAGGGGCACCTTCTTTCCCACCTGTGCTCCTTGCTCTGCACTCACTGGCTGCCTGCCTTGGCTGCTCAGCTTGGTGAGGGCAGCCCTGTGGTTGCTTACCCACCTTGGTGTGGAGCATTCCTGCAGAGGGCTGCCTTTTCCCTCTTCTCCTCTCAGAGTCAGCACCAGCTGTCACACGAGGGCCCATGTCCTAGATCACTGCACTGGGGAGGGAGAGGAGATCCACTTACCTTCTTCCATTGCCTCCTGGGGTTCCAGCACCCCCACCTTTAGACATATGGCTATGTGGATCTCTCAGATGTCTGTTGTGTTGTGTGAGTCTCCCCTATTGGTTTATGAATGTCCTTTTCATTACATCTTAGGGGGAGAGACTAAGGGAAGAGCTTACTCTGCCATCATGCTGATGTCATTCCTCAATAGTTTTTGTGAGGATAGAATGAAATGATATGTATAAAGTATATGCCATATAATAAGCGTGAGTTGTTGGTTTATAAAGAAAATGTAGAAATAGAAGGATTTATTATAAAACATGTGAATTTGGGGCTGGCCCCGTGGCCAAGTGGTTAAGTTCGTGCGCTCTGCTGCAGGTGGCCCAGTGTTTCGTTGGTTCGAATCCTGGGCGTGGATATCTCACTGCTCCTCAAGCAGTGAGGCAGCGTCCCATATGCCACAACTGGAAGGACCCACAACCAAGAATATACAACTATGTACTGGGGGGCTTTGGGGAGAAAAAGGAAAAAATAAAATCTTAAAAAAACAAAAAAAATGTAAATTCCATCCTAACGTTGCTATCCTAATATTTAATAATTTTTGTCATTAGATTTCCCTTCTTTTAACAAGAATCATAAGAAAACAAATTTATCATCCAAATGAGTTTATACGAATATACACATATTCATATACCAAATGGAATTTGCTACTGGATTAAAACATCTTTGCTATACAGAGGTTCATTTACAAAGCATGCTCTTTGATAATGGCCTGGTGCCATGTGGAATTTTAATCATTTTTTTCCAGTCTGTGAAAAACTTCCACTGCTCCTTTGTGGGCCACAGGAGCACCTGCAATGCATGCATCCATTCAGTCTTTAAATATTTATTGAGAACATACTATGTGCTAGGCACTGTATGAGGTGCTGGAGAGTCAGTAGTCTATAATACAAGTTCCCTGCTGTCATGCAGTGTATATTCTAGTTGAAGAAACAGACAAGAAATGAGAAAGAAAATTTTCAAATAGTGATAAATACTAGGAGGAAAATAAAACAAGGTGACATGATAATATATTGGGGAGGAAGGAGGTGATTAAATTGTATAGGCAAGGCAGGCTCAGAGGAGATGATTTTGAGCTGATATCTGAATGACAAGAGGGAGCTAGATACATAAAGCATAGAGTGACAAGCATACCAGGCAGAGGTAACACCACGTGCAAAGCCCCTGAGGTGGAAATGACTTAGCTTTATGAATTCCTAAGTAACTTGCATATAAATCCACTCAGTTTATTATTTGCTAGATGAGCTCACCATTTGAAAGAAAATGCTGTTGATTCCTTTTTTTTTAAAGATTGGTGCCTGAGCTAACAGCTGTTGCCAATATATATTTTTTTCTGCTTTTTCTCCCCAAATCCCCCCAGTTCATAGCTGCATATTTTAGTTGTGAGTCCTTCTAGTTGTAGCATGTGGGATGCTGCCTCAGCACAGCCTGAGGAGTGGTGCCATGTCCACGCCCAGGATCCAAACCGGTGAAACCCTGGGCTGCCAAAGCGGAGCGTGTGAACTTAACCACTCGGCCATGGGGCCAGCCCCTGCTGATTCCTTTTTAAAATGATTTCAAAATTCTAATGCAGTAGTTCTAACACTATCATGTGTGTAAGAATAACCTGAAGAGTTTGCTAAAATATAGATCATGATGTAAAAAAGCTGAACTTGTAAAAACAGAGAGTAGAATGGTGGTTACCAGAGGCTGGGGGTTGGGAGAAGTGGAGAGATGTTGTTTAAGGGTACAAACTTGGAGCTAGTAGACAAGTAAGTCCTGGAGAGCCAATGAACAGCATAGTGATTACAGACAATACTGCATTATAAACTTCCAAGTTGCTAAGAGACTAGAACTTAATTGTTCCCACCACAAAGAGGAAATGATAATTATGTGAACTGATAGAGGTGATAGCTAACACTATGGTGGTAGTCATATTGCAATTTATCAACATGTTGTATACCTTAAACTTATATGTTATATATCAATTATATTTCAAAGAAAAAAAACCCAGTTTCCTGGGTTACATCCCTAGAGATTCTGATTCAGTAGGTCGGGTGAGGCCCACAGATTTGCATTTGTAACAAACTCATGGGTGATGCCAGTGCTGCTAATCTGAGGACCATACTTTGAGAACTACTGCTTTAACAAATCTATTTTGTGAGTTTAGTATCCATTTGCTAAAAGTAAAGCATGCCAATCTTTTCTTTCATGTAAAAAGTGAACTTATTTGGCATGCTCATCATCTGAAATTAATTTTTGTAACTGTAGTGGAAAAGTTCATGAAATGTGAAAGATAAAAAAAGACCATAAATATTTCATGTTGAATTCTTAGCATCTATAATTGTATGAGTTTAATTTCAATATAACCATTAGTGAAGAGTTAACAGTTTCATTTGGAGAGGATTTCAAGGATTATTTTTTAAATGCTGAAAGGAATTTAAATGATAGAGTACTTAAAGATTTTATAAAATTATTTTTGTTTCTTGACTGAGAGATCACATAAATAGAAATTTGTACATTAAATCCTGATAATCTGGAGAATATGAGAAGGTCGTGCTTCCCATCAACTGTGCGATTCATGAGGATACGCATGGAAAAGAGATGGAGAAAGGTAGAGCTCAAAGCATTCTGGTCAGCAGGGAGCCTGGCTGCTGCAGTCACACAGACTGTATGACGTATGTCAAAGAAGCCCATGTGCTCCTGTCCCTAGCAGTTGTTCCCAGGAAGGGAATTTATAAGAATATTGTTTGTTCCTTGGGCATCATGACCTTAGCGGCACCAGGGATGGTATATGGATGGTGATACTAAGAACAGCCAACAGTTACCCAGCACTTTCCACATTCCATTGCTCTAAATGTTTTATGTGATTAACTGATGTAACCCCCAGAACACATCTATGGGGTAGATAGTGACAACATCTCCATTTTATAGACAAGAAAATGAGTAATTTAGGTTACCAGGCACTAAGCAGAAAAGCTGAGATTAAAACCTAGACAATTTGTGTTCAGTCTGATCTGTTAAAACATTTTACTGTATACTGCTTCATATTTGGAGAAGAATCCTGAAATCAAAGGTTTTCAGGATTTGTGTCTATACCTCAGGTTAAAATGAGGTATCTGATTCTTTTTCTGCACACCATTTAAGTTATTACACAGGAATTCCACAATGTCTTCTTTTTTGTTTTTTTGGCGAGGAAGATTGATCATGAGCTAACATCTGTTGCCAAGCTTCCTCTTTTTGCTTGAGGAAGACTGTCGCTGAGCTAACATCCATGCCAGTCTTCCTCTATTTTGTATGTGGGATGCCTCCATAGCATGGCTTCATGAGGGTGTGTAGGTCTGTGCCCAGGATCTGAACCTGTGAACCCTGGGCCGCCAAAGCGGAGTGTGTGAACTTAACCACTGCGCCACTGGCTGGGCCCATAATGTCTATTTTTTAATCTTTCTGCCTGGGTCTGACAGGACAACATTCCAAATGAGGACCAAGAGAGGAAGACTGTTGGAGTATTCACTGCAGAGAAAAGTTTTTTACCATTTCCTAGTGTGTGATCCTGGGCCCATCACCAAAATGTTCTGAACTTAAGTTTTAGTATCCATAAAAGGATGACAACGTTTACCCCACAGGATTAGGCAACTGAATGAGGACTTTTCTGGCCACTGATACAGATGTATATACTAGTCAGGTGTCCAGGTGGGTGGACACTTTATGATAATTTATAGGATTTTTGCCTTACCTGCTGATGAGAATCTTTGGTTAAGATGCAACTTCATTGAAAGACTTTGAATGACCGTGGATCTAGTGTCTTCAGAGGATCTCCTTGGGCTATTTGTATGGTTGGGCTTGGGATGGCACACCCTAACTATGGAGAAAGTCTAGTGGCTGCCCAGATCGAACAGTAATGTAATGCTTGTAGTGAAAGCTGCTGTTGGAGCAGAGTGACAGTGGAGAGCAACGGAGTTCCAGGAGGAATGTCAACTGTTCATCCAGCAGGTGTTTCATTTTCATTTACAAAGCAATAACCAGAAATAATTTTTGTCAACCTAATATAATGGTTCATGTCAATGTCTGCTTCTGAGAACGACCAGAAATAATATTTCAAGAATTCCTAAGCATTTCATTTCAAAGTTTTATGTTTGGAGTAATTCCTTGGAACAATTTTTAGGTATTATAATTTTTTTTTTTTGATGAGGAAGATTGGCCCTGAGATAAATCTGTTGTCAATCTTCCTCTTTCTGCTTGAGGAATATGTCTTTGAACCAACCTCTATGCCAGTTTTCTTCTTTTTTTTGTATGTGGGATGCTTCCACAGCATGGCTTGATGAGCAGTGTGTAGGTCATGCCTGGGATCTGAACCCATGAACCCTGGGCCGCTGAAATGCAGTGTGTGAACTTAACCATTATGTGACCAGGCTGGTCCCTATAAAATATGTTTCAAAGATAGTTGTGTTTACCTATGCTCAAAAGAGGGAAAATATCATTAAAATGAGTAGGCCTGCATAAATATATAGAGGTAGGTAATCTTTGTAGATGCTTTTACTGTGTAACCTAGATCCTAAAATCTAAGGAAGAGATGTAGAGAAAATAAAAAGTGCAAGGGAGATATATGAGTAATGAATTGTCTTAACTTTTATTTGATTATTTTCATTTACAGTTCTGGCACTGACACTTTTTTTAAAAAAAGATTTTCATTTTATGTAAAGATTGAACTTCAATAAAATAACTTAAAAAACATTTACATATACATCACTAAATCTCCATAAAATATACAATACTTTTTGATACAGCTATAGGCTAGAATGACTTTGAAGGGAAAAAATGATAAATATTCATAATTTTTAAGAGATATCCCATATGTCACGTGTAGGAATAAATATTTATATTGAATTTGCCAAGACATGTGAAGTGTTAAACACTATGTAACATGCACCTAGAAATTAAAATATATATTTTGAAAACATTTTAAAAGCATAAAACTGTGTTTTGATTTAATCTAGATGTACATTAGCGCTTCTAAATAGAAATTTGAACATTTATTACAAATAAGAGATACTATAACATCAAGTGAGATATAGTCCAAAAGCCGCTAGGAACCAGTTTGGACATGTAGAATATAAATTTCTACTTTGGCTAGAGTTAAATCTCATCTTTTTTAACCTTCAAATAAGATGGAATGATGTTAAATTTGCTAACATTTTAAAACTTTACAAAATACTGGTTTTTATTTTTGAGTACTTGTAAGCTGTATTTCTTTTTCTCATTTATACTGATGTGACAAAATCAAACACATGAACTTAACTGTCTAAAATAAAAATCTGAATATTACTGCTAAATGAAAGTAAGTATTTAACATTCCAAAGACCAAATCACTCAAGTGCAACAGACTGTTTTATACATACAAAGTAAAGTTTTATAGGAATTACATTGTTTTACACTCACAAGCAAATTATGAGGATAAAATTCATGTACTTCTGAACGTCATTAATACTCTTAGGAACTATCTTTCTGATGTATATAGGCAGACAAAAATTTCCTTCTCTAGGAGACAATATATAAGAGAGTTGGTAGCAGTTAGCTGTTTGGCATTTTAAAATGATTACCCTTTCTAGAAAATAGTAGCAATACTGCTCACCCAGAAGAACTGAATGTACTGATAATTGATACGCTGCTACAACCTAAATCACTTCATCAAATTAGCTTAACATTACTGTACATGAGGCTAAGACAACTGATAGAAAAGGACAGAAAATAGGATATTAATGTTAATCCAGAGAACACCTCTGAGTCTTTTATAGGCAGCAGCTACACATGAGCTGTAAATTTTATCCACAATTTAATATGTTTTGCTATAAAGCACAAATTATGAATTCTCTGCTCTGACCTGTTATGTCATTCTTTTATTCATAGTTAGTGCAAAGGTCTGAAATTGGTAATTTAAAACTTGTCCCAATAACTGTATAAATCTGAGTTGTTATGTGCTTAGTATAATTTAAGATTTTATAACTAGGAGAATGGTAAAAAAAAAAAATCTGATTATAACAAAACATCTCATTAATTTTATTGTTCTTAATTACTATGCCAATGAAATAAAATCAAAAGAATCCTCCCACTCCCCTCACTGTATTACAGTATTTAATGACACTGATAAAGTTTATAAATTGAGACTCTCTTAGATAACATATGGATAGTATTTTCTAGACTGTCCTCCCCCAGGATCTGTGGATTATTAGAATACATTTCAATTTTACTTTCTGTGTAAAAGCAAAAGGGTAAGTTGTCAACTTACATTTTTCCTCTTCATTCTTCCTCTGGATAACTGATTTTGAAATTATAGTAAACAATTTATAAATTCTTTGCTTTAATGGATTTACCATGAGTGAATAACTTAAAAAATAATGTTTAGACATATACTAAAATCTGGTTCAGTGGTAAAATAAAATTATGAAAAAGCACTTGATAGCATTACTCTCATAGCATTTTCCATCAGGGAACTAACTACCGCATATGACTGGGAACAAAATTCAAATGGAAATACTACATTTTAAGTCTAATTTTAATTTAGATCTTTAGATACATATTAAAAATCATGTCTTGGATAATTATTGACTAAGGTGCAACAATTAAAATTATTAGGAATGTTTATATTGAAGAAAAATATTAATACCAAATGTGTAAAACCTATCTGACATCACATTCAGCCTTATGTGTTCAGATGCAGATGAAATGCTATATTCTCTTAAGTCTAGTGCAGATCTCATCAGCCATCCAGGCTAAGCCTCAATAGGGGTGATGACCTCCTTCACTAAATTTCCCTAAAACATAATATACCTCTGTTGAATCTGCAGCATGTTTAGAAGGAAACCTATAATTTCAGTTAAAAGCATGATGCTTAATGTGCTTTAATATGGTAAGTCAAATATAACACATATAAACAAATCGTCCTATAAAATATGTATTTGATGATGTTTCAGAATGAAAATGGAATGTTTTCAAGTTGATAGTGGTAGCCAAAGACTCTGAGAACTTAAAAGGTGCGTAATATAAAAAAGCCTGCAAAATTCAAACATTCAATTTTTAATATACTATAAATGTTCACTGAATCTAAAAATAATACCCTAATTTTATAAGGTTCCTTTTCAAGTAGTTATTTGTTTTTAAAAAATTATAAATAATTCTTATAACTATGCCTCTCTGTCTTGTACTTCAAAGATATGGAATATTATCTATCTTTATCATTATATAAATAACAAATAGTCCTTTAAAGAAGAAGTTGAGGAGAATAGGGGAGGAGAACTGTGGCTGATTTTCCCTGTTATGTGCATTTATGGATGGAAAGTTGCAAACACCATTTGCTTATGTCAGGGAGAACAGGCCATGTTCTGCTTTAGGAAATAATAAGAGTCGAGTTGCTCCTTTAATAAAGTTACTGTGCATTCAGCCCAGCTGAGTATATAAGCATATAGTTAAGGCTATATATACAATAAAGAGAAGAATTGAGGCAATTACTTGGATAAATCAGAAACATAAATTTTTAAAGAGGGCACTTTATTGGTCTAAATATTTTTTCTCCCCATCATATTCTGATTTTACCACACAGTAGCTTGTTTGCCACTTCACTTGATCTGTGAGAAATATTACACAGATAAGAAATTTCTTACGGGGTAAGAAATATAGAATAATAATTTTCTCCATTAAATCTCATCTGCTTTTCTGAGAAAAATTAATATTACTATCCCCTTATAAATCAATTGTCAAAGCACCTAATTGAAGGAAAAAATATTTTTTATTACATGACATGACCAAAGGGAGAAAACTTTTTTGGCTGAAGGATTTTTAGGCCAGTAAAGTGACTGTTTAAACACGTATCATACCCCTGGTTGCTGAGAGAATGAACCTTCTTGGCTACATTCTCAGCTTTGATAACTGTGATAGGAACAAGCCAGACTTTAAGAGAAGAACAAAACATCTTGGAGACTGGCAGAAACACATTGAATTTAGAGACAGCCACCTTTTCATTCCAAAAAGTACCTTATTTAATGTTTAGAGCCATGTTAACATGCACCAAACTTATGTGTTCCTAACTGGCCACAGGTGAGTCATTCATATTTTCACTGGAACTAATAAGTAATTTATGAATAATTTTGTACATACTATATAATTCTTAATATAAGAGCAAAAATTAGAGTTCCTTGATGAATGAGCATAAAAACCAATGAACACTTTGAAAAGACATTGTAGGCATGTGGTAAGTCAACATTTCTTAAAGTTATGTGCTGTATGAGAACCAGCAATCTGTTCCAATAGATAATCCCAATTTTTAGACAAGAAGGAAAAAATCCAAGCCAACCATGAGAAAAAAGGAAACACTCTCAGACAAATCTATGTATCTTTTTTGTTTTTTTTTGGTAAATTGTCAGGGAAAACAAGACAGGGTGTGCAAAAATAAAAACTAGTTTATGTTCTTAGAGTAAAAAAAGACAAAGTACTATTAGGTAATAAAATGTGACAGTTCCATTAGGAAGAGTTAATAAGTTAAGAAAAAAATAAGTCCCACTTGTTAATTAAACAAACATCAGTAACAGCAGGATTATTTCTGTCACTGATTTTCTTCCTTTTTTGTTTGAGAAATTTGATTGATTAAAAGAGGGGGGAAAAATAGTCTGCTAGCAGCTATTTAACACAAATGAAGGCACAAATAGGACTCCAGAGTTGACGATTGCAGGTGTGGTGAATATCAGGTGATTCTGGCATGAACAAAAACTGACCCTGAAATACAGTTGAAGATGTAGCTCTATTTTGTGTTTAAGTTGCATACCTAAGTGACTAACTCGATCAGGGGTCCAGAAAAATCTTCTCTTTCTTACTTTCTAGTAATAAAATATACTTATCAAAACTTGTTAGCTTATCTGTGCAAATGTATACTTATCACTGCTGCAAAAAAATATGTATGAAAATAAACCCTAAAAGACCTGCTTTTCATAATGTTCAAAATAGCCTGTACATAGTCAGTTTCTGAAGAACTCTCAAGAGCTGAATTGGAGAGAGAAACCAAATATGGAATCCAAAGGAGATAAGGACAGCTGTGCACTTGTAGGAGGCACTTTCGAATCTGTTGATGAAAGCTTAAAGGGAATTTACTTTCTAATAGCTGATCACAGATAAGCTACTTGTCCTTAGGAAAATTTAGGGCCAATAGGCCATGTTTTGACAGAAAACACCCTTGGATCATATCCCAGAATCCTTCTTTATAAGTATATCATACATATTATGATTTGGCTAGATCAGCACTGACTCAACTGCCACTAATAATTATATATGGTCTTAGGAAAAAAGGATACCACTGCAGTCACTGGATACAGTATTCATTTTAGACTACCTCAGGAAGGAATTGCACATATTTGCTCAATAATTATTAGTTTAAAATCTCCGTAAATATTTTTTTACATTTCTGCTTGTGAAAAAAACAATGTCATCATGGTTGTATCTTCCTCCTAATCAAATATTCTAGAATATGAAGTCATTCCAAACTAGACTGTGGAAAGAACCAGATTAGAAGCAGGGCAGTGAGGTCATCCATTGCTGCTCTTCTCCCCCAAGTTTGTTTAAATGACTAAATATATCAGCAGCTGAAATTTATTCCACATCAGAAGCATCGTTGTCAGAAAGATGATAGTTACTTCCCTTCACCCGAATATATTCACTTATCTCCCTTCATCAGAATCTGAAGCGCCACATGTACATAGCCTGTTGTCAAAGAGTGATTCAATTTCCTCTAATTTTTTCCCTTTGGTCTCAGGAAGACAGCCATAGATGAAAAGGAGTCCCACGGCAGCGAATCCAGCATAAAGGAAGAAGGCTCCTGCAATGGAAAATAATATGTATGTATAAATACACATAGATATACTTGGTCTATATAAATATGGTCTATATATAGAGAGAGAGGGGCCTAGGTTAGAAACAGTCCTTGATTTTGACTTTCCTTTCTGGTCAGTCATGCATAACTGTGGTATGAAATGGAACCAAAAATTACTGCCAGCCTGGTTTACTCTAATTGTTCTAATCCTGTGAATATAATGTAATTTGCCTTTCTAAACTTGTAAGGCCAAACTCAAGAAGAATGATAGACCAGGTTCAGATGTAACTTCTGCTTTGCAGTCTTTTCTCATGTGGCTGGATAGAGATAACTTTTCTCTATGTGCTTTCACAGCACTTTGCTGAGGCCTCCTATCATAATAACCAAGAAATATTATAATTATGTGCATGTATTATTTGTCTTGTCTACTAGACTGGAGGCACTTTGAGGGAGAAATTCCTTTCTCATTTATCTAGTATTTCCAGAACCCACATACAATGATGACACTGCTGAACTCATGACTCACTGGAGTACATGGCAACTCTATCCTTCTGGTCTCTCATTCCAAAAGTCTGATAGTCAACCTTGACTTTTCTCTCACTCTCCTGCCCAGTATCCAATCTGCTGGTTAGTCCTGTTGGATCTGCCTTCAAATATAATCTGAAGATGACCACTTCTCCTCATTCCGCTGATGTCTGTGATCTGACAGCCATCCTCCCGCATCTGCACTGCTGCAGTGGTCTCCTAACTAGTCTCCTTGTTCCTTCTCTTAGATCCTTATAGTCGTCCTCTTTTTCTTTTGGTGCAGAGCACTTATCACCATCTGACATACTATAAAGCTTACTAATTTGTTTTATTTTCCTCCTCTAGAATGTAAGCTCCATGAGGTCAGAGAATTTTGTTTGCTGTAAGACTATGCATGTCAATGCAGCACAACCACAAAGACATAATTACTACCTGGTTGTGTTTTCCAAGTGTCAATTCAGCAAGCCAAGATGGATGAGATATATGAGTATGTGACTTGAGCATGTTCTTACATATTTCCAAGATGGCCTTTCCTTATATAGTCCAATTCCCAATTTAAATATAAGAACCTATGCTTTCACTTTCGATGGATGGAAACAACTAACTATAATGGAGTCCTTGCCTAATTTTAGGCCTTTGGTCCAGACCATCCTGTATATGAGATGGGGGAAGGAAGATGACAAACTAATGGGACAAAGGCTGGAGAAAGGATATCAGATTGGGAGTTGGAAAATCTGGATTTCAATCTTGCTATGTGACTTCTAAATAGTCATTTAACCTCTTCTCTGGCCCTCAGTTTCCTGATTCAGCAAAATAAGATGGTTTCTCAGCTATGATTTAAGTTTATAATTCTATAAATTTTACAACCCAAATCAGGACCAGGTTTTGGAGAGATTGTTATGAGATGCTTGAGAGAGAGACATCCTCTTCTGTTTCAGTAGCAAAAGTGGTCTTAAGGGCAGAGTCTATGGCTTGTTTGTGGGTTCCCTAGTACAGAGCCTGACACACTGGAGCATCTAGAGAATGAATGTGCTCTTGTTGACTGCCAGATGGAATATATTGAGTAACAGATCTGAAATAAAGGGCTAAACTAGACAACATAAAGCTTGACTTTCAAATATGTCTTTAAGATGAATAGCATAGCAATTAAAGAACTGAATTTAACATTTCTCAGTTCTGCTGAATCATTACAGAATAGGAAAGACATTATTAAGACTACATTCTTAAAGACATACGTATAAATAACCATTTCAGGAATATACACAGAAACATTTCTTGGGAAGGCTCAAGGAAAACTACAGAGGAAAAATGCTGCTCAAGTGGCCACCCAAAAAATCTGCTCTCTGGAATGAGGAGCTGTGAGAAAACAGAAGGGAAATAGAGATAAATTATGAGAAATTAGAAAAAATATTAAAGAGTTGACTAAATCAAGACATAGTTTGTTAAGACTTAAGTCATCAGAAGCCATACAATCTTAAGGAGCTGGACTTGTATAAATCAAATTCTCTTTAATAAAAACACAACTCTATTTACAAATATAGGGCTCATTTATTTCATTTGTTTGGTTCACACTGAATACTTACTACAAACATACATTTTTTTATGTCTTATACTTGGTAAATAACCAAAAAATAATACTAGGTAATCTGGGATGCGTGGCTGAGTGTTACAGTGAAAGGAAGGCACCATGGCTCTGTAGAGTCTGACAATCACAAAGCAACCCAGGCTGAATCCTTGGGCAGTTTCTTAAATTCTCTTGACCTTAGTTTCCTGATTTAATGGAGAAAATAATTCCTGCCTTGCCAAACTGCAAGAATAAAATAATGTATGTTACATGCCTATTAGAATTTGGATGTTAGCTGCTCAAAAAAGTGATAGCATAATCAAATTCTACTAAATGAGTAGGGAACACAAGAGTTGCTTTTAGAGATAGAGTGGAACAAGGTTTGGTATGACCAATAAATTGGGAATGTTTTCATCAAAAAGGTGATACTGACAAGCTAGCTTTTGGAGAATGTGGGAGTTTTGAGAAAAAAATGAAAAGAGATGAAGTCCTGTGATCTGTTTACATATAAGCAAAGTTGTGGAGGTAAGAACAGAATTGGAATCTTTAGCAGAGAGGAACAAAGAAAGGATCATAATCATGATGATGAGAAACAGAAAAAAAAAAGCGCAACTGGTATAACATTTTAGATTAAACCAGGCTGCTAAACTCCAAAATCTCTAACAGAGCAAACCTAGTTTGGCGTTATAAAATGTAGTATTGAGGAAATATTCATCACAATTCACAATTTAGGAAGAGAGGCATGATCAGAAGTAACAAATCAAATCTGTTAGTGCTAAACTCGTACAGTTAAAACCAACTAGATGGGTTAGGAAGATTCTTGAATGCCGTGCAGCTTCTTGCTTGTGACCCAGATTCCCAAGCCAAATAACATCAGGGAAATTCTATTAAAATACAAGACCCTTTTATTAAATCTGAGGAATCTAAAGCAAGCAAACGCCAAAGCTAAATGGGCTTCTCTGGTGAGACCTGTGGTTAAGCCACAGAGGTGTGGGCAGGCCCGGGGGCTGCGACCTGCTGCATGTAACGGGCAGGTCAATTATGTAACTCACTTTCTTAATTATTCCCCCCTCGGAATGAAAATGAAAAAAATGTCTGTCAGGATTGTTAAATAGTGCAGATACTCCTCAGCTTTATTCAGAAGGAAATAAATCTTATTAAAGTCCTACATTAAGTTTCAGATTAAGACAGGTATTTAATTGAATTATGCAAAATGAGGAATCAAAGACCATGTTTGATTGAAATTTCAATACCTCAACCCAGGAACTTTGATCTAATGCTCTCCAAGGGATCACTTTAGTCACACATGCTATACATAAAATGGTATACTGGTGACAGTTTAATGATAATTTTTAGTAATATTACAAAACATTACTGGATGGGGTCCAAGGCAGACCTGTCTAAGCAGTATAGTTTATGAAGGAATCAAAATCTGAGGTCTTACAAAACAAAAAAAGAAGGAAATAGAAAGACATGGATATTTCCAGAGAAATACATCATTATGGTGTATATTCATAAATTAGGAATAGAAACATATACCTTACATAAATCAGTAACATGTAGATTAAAATGTACATCAAAAAAAACAGGGAAAAAATGAACCTGAACTGAAATATTGTTCCAGTACTAGAAAGCAGTAGACCTAATGGACTGACCGGTGCACTGACATGATAGAAGCTTGGCTTAGTAACAAAGCAAAAAGCTTCTTCTAATGGGATATTTTTGAAAGAAGTCTGGCTAGGCCCTATTTAAATTTTACTTCTGTTGCCTCATGTTTTTCTGGCAGTATAAATTCAAGAAAGAGGAGCTTTGCTATCAGAAGTCTTACCAAGTAGACTATTATTTGGTCTATGAATTTCTATAAAAAATGCTTCCTCAGGATGTTAGTCTATATTTAGGTCTTAAATGTGTTCTCAGGAATCAGCAAATATGGGTAAATATTTATTGTGCTCATACTCATGGTGTCAGGAAGATAACTTTATGAATTTATGTAAAATTTTAATTGCCAAGTGGGATAAAGCTGAACATACTGAATATATATCCAGTTTAAAATGCCAGTGCATTTCCTTTCCAAGAAAATAAGTATTTCTAAATGTTCTAAATGGTGGTTGGGAGAGAGAAGAGTTTATAAAGATAATACTCAGTAGATAAATAGTATTAAATAAAAGTAAATACCAATTCAGCATGTTCAGAAGAGAGGAGGAATAAATTTTTATAATGTTTCCTTTATTCATCACTCATCTACAAAATTCATCTGCATGTGTATTCATTTGACAAACACTTCTGAGTGCTTATCAAGTGAATGGCACACCCTGGAAGGCACTGGGAATTTAATGGTGAACAAGGTGTAGTACTTGCCTGAGCTCATGGGACTTATGGTCCAGCAGTAAGGGGAGAGGGGCTGACAAACGAACCTGTTATTGCAAAAAGGAATAATGAGTGCTTAGATCATGGGGTGGGGTGAGATGAAGGGAGGTGAGTGATAGGGGAGGGGATCAGAGGATGGCCTAAGCAGCAGGCATTCCATATACAGCATAGAGGCTTAGGGGTTAGAGTGAAAACCTCATATTTCATCAATTTAGAATCCAATCACAATCTATAAACTTATACAGACAATGAAGAAATCATCTTGCTAAAAAAAGAAAGACATTTCATTTTGGTAAAAATGGACTTGAAGTACCTTCCCAAAGTTTTTTCCTAATCAGCCACTTCCCAATATTGTTTTCTTTGAGTTATGGCCTCCACACCTTTTCACTTGAACCCTTCTGTTATGTTTACAGTTTTGGCAGTGGTAAGTGCCATTCTCAGTGGACACTGAAATGCACATGCCGTGGCCTGAATGGCGTAGATGATACAGTGGAAGGCATAACTCCCAGCACGACATTTGGGGGAGCTACTTTCAGCCCTACCCTGATTCTGCTCTTGGACAGACTCCATCCCTGTCGTGGGACATCTTCAAGCATTAGCCCTAGACTTCCTGCCTACCTCTTTCTACCATTCTCTGTTGTTTGTGTTTCTTCATTAAACTAACAGCTCTGCTGTGAAGATTTCCAACTGGGAGATAGCTGGGAAATGTTTGGGTTGGGAGAGTGGGTGGGTGGGTGAAGGCTATGAAGCACTGAGGGACAAGAAGCAATGCTGCTCAGGAAGGGAGAATTCCTCTTCTTTTTTTCCAGGTCCATTTCCAAGGACTTTGGGGAACAAGAAAGCCACACAGAGATATTTATAACAGCAAAAATATAACCATCTAGTCTTTTCAATCACAAATGATAGCATATCTAAAAACAGTAGGAAAAATAAAAATGAAACTATAGCTGGAAAAAATACTCTCTTACCATAGTATGTGAGATACTCTGCTGTGTGTAAAAATGTCAATGAAACCAGAACGTTGAAAATCCAGTTTATTCCAGATGAACATGCGTTTCCTGTACTTCTTGCCCAAAGGGGATATATTTCAGAATTCACAGTCCAAGGCATTGGTCCCATTCCTGAGAAATACAAAATTAAAAATTTCAGTAAAGTAGTATGTAAGGAATTTTAAAAAGAGTAGCTTGTCTCCTCTAAAAAGAGACAATTTAATTAACACAACAATAGCCTTTGGTTTACCAGGTGCGAAGAAAACAAGATATAAAATAAGGCCCAGAAGTGCAGTCCAGGAGTACGGAGAAGGGCAGAAATTGTAAGCCCAGAATACTTCTTCTGTTTTGAATTTGGTTTCATTTTCACACCTGAAAAATAATGCAATATAAATATTAACTTAGTGTTTTAGGGTATAGTTGCAGAAATTCAATGTGATCATTTAGGATGTATTTGGAAGTTCCTTAATATCATTAAGGAAAAGGGTCCAAGATGTTTTTCTTGAAAAAGAAAGTTAAGATTTAAATATACAGTATTAAATATGCAAGCTCACATAGAACTTTTTAGAGCTGAATATAATTCAAGAGCAACACAAAGAAATACATTGTACATACAACTCAATAGAAAAAAACCTGATTAAAAAATGGGCAGAGGCTCTGAATGGATTTTTTTTTTTTTTTAAAAGATTGGCACCTGAGTTAACATCTGTTGCCAATCTTCTTCTTCTTCTTCTTCTTCTCCCCGAAGCCCTCCCAGTACATAGCTCTATATTCTAGTTGTTGAATAGACATTTTTCAAAAGAAGACACACAGATTGCCAATAGGCACATGAAAAAGTGCTCCACATCACTAATCATCAGGGAAATGCAAATCAAAACCACAATGAGAAATCACTTCACATATGTTAGACTGGCTAGCATCAAAAAGAGAAGAGATAAGTGTTGAGAAGGATGTGGAGAAAAGGGAACCCTTGTGCACTGTTGGTGGAAATGTAAATTGGTTTAGCCTCTGTGGAAAACAGAATGGAGGTTCCTCAAAAAATTAAAAATAGAACTACCATCTGATCCAGCAATTTTACTTATATTTACCCAAAGAAAACAAGAACACTAACTTAAAAAGATATCTACTCTCATGTTCATTGTGGCATTGTTTACAATAGTGAAGACACGGAATCAACCTAACTGTCCATCAGTAGATGAATGGATAAAGAAAAATGTATATATACACAATGGAATATTATTCAGCCTTAAAAAAGAAGGAAATCTTGCCATTTGAGACAACAGAGACAGACCTTGAGGGCGTTATGCTAAGCGAAATAAGTCTGGCCAAGAAATATAAATAAGGTATGATCTCAATTGAATCTGTGATTTTGTTTAAAATAACAAAACAAGCTTACAGATACAGAGAACAGGTTGTTCATTATGGGAAGGGGGTTGGGGGGGGTGGGGTGAAATGGGTCAAAAGGCCCAAACTTCCAGTTATAGAAGAAATAAGTCCTGAGGATTTAATATACAGCATGGTGACTATAGTTAATAATATTGTATTGCATATTTGAAAGTTGCTAAGAGAGTAAATCTTAAAAGTTCCCATCGTAAGAAAAAAAAAAATCTGTATATATGGTGACAGATGTTAGCTAGACTTATTGTGGTGATCATTTCACAATATATCCAAATATTAAATCATGTTGTACACCTGAAACTAATACCATGTTATATGCCAATTCTACCTCAAAAAAAATATATTGTGTTTCATAGCATTTTTCATACAAGACCGACACGATTTCCAGTTAGTCCTCGAAAGCTGCAGTAACACTTTTAGACCACTGAGAGTCAGTATGTTGTAGACAGACTAGATTTTGCAGTCAGGACAAGACTCAAATTTCAGAACCAGCTTTTTCTTATCTGTAAAATAGGGATAATGCCTTACAAGTAATGTTAAGGATTAGAAGGGTCCTGTAAAGAGGTGATAGGGTAGATGAGGGCAGAGAACAATGCTTATATCTTATTCCAGCCAACCCTTTCCTTTTCTGCTGTGCATCCTTGCTTACTTCTCTATCAGTCACTCCTTGCTGTTTGCCTCCTAGTTCAACGGTGGAGCAAAGTCTTCTATGGTCTTAGATGGATTGTCAGGTTGAACTTCCAATTCTTTACCTTAATTGAAATCTGAATTGCACCTCAAGATACACTCAGCCTCAAAAACATTCTTATCCCTTCTTGTTATTTTAGACTGTTGTTCTGCCTCCATCAACCTCTGTTTTTGAACCTTGACATCCAAGCCCTATCCTTATTGCTGTGTCTATGACCTCCATCATAACACCCTACCTGTCTTGATGATTTGGGTGCCTGGTCAGTCATCTTCTCCACCCGCTCTCATCCTTTGCCACATTCATTGATTTTTACTTCTAGCCCATCTAATACCGTGGCTTGATACTTCCTCATTTAACCTCTGAAAATGCAGACAGGGCACTTCATAATTTGCTTGATCTGAAACTATTTTACTTTAAGTTCTCAAACACAGAGTATTCCTTTTCTGATTACAAGCACTTTATTCCCTCATTTCTGATAACTTGCTCCACACCCAAATCACAGTGTTTAGATTCTAAACTCCTCTCAGTATTCATTCACCTCATCGCTCAGCTTAGTCCATGCCAATACTGTCTTCTCTCGCCTCTAGAATCCATCTTTCTTTCCTCCATCCTTGTCTGCCATTCTCACCATTTCAGTTCCTAACCCTGTGCAGCACCATTAACTTCCTTCAATAACCACTTTTCAGAAGCTGGGCAAAACTGTGAAACCATGCTGCTGGGTTCTATGAAAAGTTCATGCTATTTCTTCTCAGTTGGGTCCCTAATTATGCTTCTTTATTTTTATCCCTTATGGTCTTCTCTACTGAATTCTTGGCTTATAGCAGAGTAGGCATTCAATAAATTTTGCCTCAATTAATTAAAATATTTCTTACTGTCCTCTAGCCTTGAATCTTTCCCTCTGCTTTCTAGGTACTAAGACCTTGGCTCCTTTCAATTTGAATGCCCTCACTTTTTCTCTACTGAACCTTTACTTTTCTATATTTTCTTTCAGCTTTTCTCCTACCTCCAATGGTAACATGTCTCTTGCCCTTTCTAAGGACTGCCATTCCTGCATCTCATTCTCCTGCATCTCATTCTCCTGCTGTCTCCTCTGGGGTCATGTTCTATCAGTAGTCTGTTCTCTTTCTGCCATCTTTAGTTTCTTCCTACTAGACCCTTCTTTTTACAACACAAAAGATCACTTCTACTCGAATGTTCAGCCCCTCTCATATTACTACTACTAGCTTGTTTGAAATTATAGACAAATTTATCCTAGTGAGCTCTACATCCTCACTACCCACTCTTTCCTTCACAGCCCTGCTCCCCTATCCACCCAGATGCCAGCTGACTCTTACTCAGGCTGTTTTCCGAATCTGCTCACCCACAAGTCCTCAATGACCTCCTGATCCCCAAATTCATTTATCTTGCCTTAATTTTGAGGCTCTGATGACTCTGTGGTGGTTGATCTTGCTGACAACCCTCCTTCTCCTTCCCCTTTACTTTTAGATCTATAGCTTCACCTTATCTCACTGACATATATGTCTTCATTGCCTTTTTAAAATGCCTCTTCCTCCCCTCAACTCTAAATATAGCTGTTCTCTAAGGCTCTATTCCGGGGTTTATACCCTCTCTCTTAATCATCTCATCTAATTTTAGAGCTTTTCAATCTCCACGTGGATGCTGAAAGGTTATTTAGCCTCGACCTTTTTCTCAAGCTCCATTGCTGGAACTTAGGTATCTGCTGTGCATCTCACGCTAGATATCCTGCTGTGGCCTGAGCACAGTATGGCTGCAAGGGAATGCCATGTCTTCTCCAGGAGGTGGGAGTTGGGCTGTTCTGGGTTCAAATCATGACTCTATCCCTTATTAGCTGTGCTCATTCATTCAAAAATTTAGATAATGAGTGCTTTTTATGTGTCAGACATTAGTGATATAGCTCTGAACAAAATAACCACCGTCTGCATTTGTGCAAACTAGAGTTTAGGGGCACAGGTGCAGTCCTGTTTCCTGATCTGTAAAATAGGGCAAAAGACCATTATCACAGGCTGTTGGGAAATTAAATGTGAAAATGCATACTGAGTGCTTAGCACACTGCCTGGCATGTAGTGAGTATATGCACAGTAAGTATTACTTTACTAGTGCCTCTCATGACATTTCTGTTTGAGTTAACACCTCCATTCCTTGACTGGAAATTGATTAAAATCTTGGAGTATCTTCAATCTTTTCTTATCCATCTCTTTTTTTAAAGTTATTTTCTTTATTGAGCTAAGATTGGTTTATAACATTATGTACATTTCAGGTGTACATCATTATATTTTAAATTCTGTTTAGACTACATCATGTTCACCACCCAAAGTCTAATTACCATCCATCACTGTACACATGTGCCCTTTTACTCCTTTGCCCTTCCCCTCCCCTCTTTGCCCTCTAGTAACTACCAATCTAATCTCTGTATCTATGTCTATGTTTCTTCTTGTTGTTTTTACCTTCCACTTATGAGTGAAATCATATGGTATTTGTATTTCTCCCTCTGACTTATTTCGCTTAGCATAATACCCTCAAGGTCCATCCATGTTGTCACAAATGCCAAGGTTTCATCATTTTTTATGGCTGAGTAGTATTCCATTGTGTGTATATATCCCCCTCATCTTCTTTATCCATTTATCCATTGATGGAAACTTGGGTTGTTTCCATGTCTTGGCTATTGTGAATAATGCTGCAATCTTTTTGACTTAGTGTTTTCATGTTCTTTGGATAAATACCCAGAAGTGGGATAGTTGGATCATATGGTAGTTATATTATTAATTTTTTGAGGAATCTCTATACTGTTTTCCAAGTGGCTGCACAAGTTTACACTCCCACCAGCAGTGTCTGAGGGTTCTCTTTTCTCCACATCCTCTCCAACACTTATTTCCTGTCTTAATGATTATAGCCATTCTGAACGGCGTCAGGTGACAATAGCTCATTGCAGTTTTGATTTGCATTTTCATGTGCCTGTTGGCCATGTGTATATCTTTGGAAAAATGTTCAGATCCTTTGTCCATTTTCTAATTGGGTTATTTTTGTTGTTGTTGTTGAGTTGTATGAGTTCTTTATGTATTTTGGATATTAACCCCTTAACAGATATATGATTTCCAAGTATCTTCTCCCAATTGTTAGGTTGTTTTTTCTTTTTCTTTCTTTTTTTTTTTTTGAGGAAGATTAGCCCTGAGCTAACTTCTGCTGCTAATCCTCCTCTTTTTGCTGAGGAAGACTGGCCCTAGGCTAACATCGTGCCCATCTTCCTCTACCTAGCATGGCTTGCTAAGTGGTGCCTTGTCTGCACGCAGGATCCAAACCGGCGAACCCCGGCTGCTGAAGCGGAACGTGTGAACTTAACCACTGCACCAATGGGCCAGCCCCTGGTTTTTCATTTTGTTGGTGGTTTCCTTTGCTGTGTGAAGCTTTTTAGTTTGGTGTAGTCCTACTTGTTTATTTTTACATTCATTTCCCTTGCCTCGGGGGAGTCATTGTATTCAAAAAGATACTGCTAAGACCAATGTTGAAGAGTTTATTGCCTATGTTT